AGTGTATTAAAGAGGAGTCGTAACAAAACAGGAGACTTTGAAATAGCTTTGTTTTTTATTATTTTAATGATCTACTGATATAACCGACATGGGTGACACTTTACATATTAATATTCTGCTGATATGTTGCAAATAGTGCATTTTCTATGATCAAATGCATGGCAATTAGTCAACATAGACAACACACCCAGTGCTAATTATAAGTAAGTAGTATAAGAGGTCAAATAAGACTTTCAAAGGTGAACAATCCCAGTTATGACACTTACTATCATCAGAATTCTTAGAAAATCATTTGCTTCAAAAGGCACTACTGTATATCAGAAAATAATTGTCTCTGATGTGTGGTAACTTGCACTCGCTCGCACTTCCCGCGACGTCACTACCCACGATAAACAAAATATCCCAAACAGGTACTTGTCAATGAACCGATAGAAACTTGGTACAAAACAGTTGGGCCATCCTCGCTGTAGCGTTTCATGCCGTTTTACACCCACAAAGGCATGAAGGTTATTCTGCTGTTATTCGTCTCGAGTAGATTCAACGGTTGGGATCATTAAAAGAACTCGCCGCAGTTCCCACCGTCAGAACTGTGTACTAATAATCCTGAAGGGTGCCGTCGAGGTCTGGTTTTTATATTTAGAACCGCATCATTAAGCAATCAGGCCATCAGGTCTCGGGGTTCTGCGTAATTACTTTTTGATTAAAACGCCTTCTAAATGCTCGTTTTGAGTATCATCTGACGACTTTCCTGTGCGAAAACTTACACAAAAATACAAAAAAAAAAAGAACAATACATTCTGCATCTGCAAAAGCATTATTGTAACTACGGTAGCAGAACAATCACCTGCGATCCGAGTTCGGAGGGTTTTTAAACAGAAAGGAATAAATTTAGACATATTATACAAGCACCTCCCATTTACAGTAACAGATAAACATTTATATGAAAAGAATCAAACAAAATGCTTCCTACACAGACTTTCTTGAATGGTTAAAAAAAAAAAAAAAAGTCACGTCTAGCCAAACAGTGTAAATCTTTGAGCACCACTAGCTGTGGTGCGGAGCAGCTTCAGTGATGAATTCTTACTGTGCATGCATTAGTATGAAGAACAAGCAGTTACACAGTATTTATCAGTGTTGCATACATGCAGGGGTTAATGTATGCATGTGGGATTCTTTTTTTTACCCTTTTTTTTTTTCTTTTCCTACAGCTGCCTTCATTAGGAGTGTTGTCGTCCCAAAGCTCAGTAGCACAATGCAAAGATAAACCCAGAGTTCAAAAGACAGGTGTGTACATGGAAGGAAAGCGAGGCAAGAGTGCAGCAACACACACACACACACGTTTAATCCTGGAACCATGCAAGCGAGAACACCTGATTAAAGTCATTAGTGACTTCTGAGTCACAGCGTGAAGGTAGCACTTTGTTTCACAAGGCAGTAAAATAATGTTATCAGACACAAAGCGGTGAGGTTTTTACTAATGAGCAACCAAGAGATGACGGGGGTGAAAGAAAATGTTGCTGGATCACATCCAGTCTGGTTTAGCTGTGATCATTTAGATGTTTTCTATCTAAAACGCACGGCTTCGCTGACCTCCTAAACAGTAACAGAGAACAACAGCTTGCCATACGCCGGGCCAGACTTAAAAAAGAAACGAAGTAAGACTAATGTGATGTTGAATATTCTGGCCTTGTGTTTCTCTGAGGTGATCCGTAAGACTTTATATGGTGCAAATACACATTTAGTTGGTCGCTATAAAACATACAATCCCACTGGTGGGCGCCGCTGACGGTGGCAATGTGTAACAGACGTTTAGGAATAATATCCCTATTCAAGTTTTAACCGACATTATGTTTCAAACTCCTTAAAAAGCAGCAAAAGTTAAAATTAGAGTGTTGCTTTTTAGTAAAGTTATTATTCATAAAAATATGAATTTAATTGGTGATTTTTTTGTATAGTTAAACCACTGACAGCAGATAATTGTAAAACAGGGACATAATGAAGCTATAATTTAGTCATGTATTTCAGTTATTTCTCTAAAATACAATCATTAGTTGTACTGTGATTAGAGATACAACAGAGTTATACATGTAGGTTACTCTATTACTCCATAAAAGATGCAATCAAACATTTTTGAGGACTAATTTGCTGTTGATTTGTGAGTGTTTGACTACAAATAGCAGTTTCTTTGTTCTATTTAGACTGGATACTGGTTCGCTTGATAGTTTTTTTTAGATTCTGCTAATGCCACATACACTTGGTTTCAGAAGACATTAACCTCTGACTGTTGGAGCTATGCAGCACCTCTGGGTGGGGGCAACTTGCATTTTACACACTAATAACAAGGCTAATGATGTGTTTAGTTCTACTCAGATCCATTTCCAATTTGGCACTGACCCAGAGCTTTCAAGGCTTCAAGGTTTTCATGGCTTTTCTGAACACACAAACAGCAGGCATTAAGACATTTAAACCGTCACCTCAGATTGAAGCAAATGTTAGATTTTTGCTAAATTTGCTCATTCGCTTTGTTGCTAAAATTCATTTGAGAAGATTGATACTACCCTTTAAAATACGAAGCAACAGTTAGCGGCTAGTTAGCTTAGCTTTGAGATTAGAAGCCAGATGAAAGGGCTAACTTGTCTGTGTGCAGCACCTCTACATTTAGGTAATTTACATATTAGATTGTGTTTTGTTAGTCCATAAAACAACAGGAATGAAAAAAAAAAAGAAGTTGTGCTTCTAGTGGGAGTTACAGGTTGTTTTTCTTCAAGCTACGCTAAGCTAATTGCTCACAGGCTCTTGCTTCGTATTTCACATGCTAACATGAAAGTAGTATTGCTCTTTTTAAATATTTTGCAAGAAAGTGAATGAGGTTCATTTCCCAAATTTTAAGCTGATCCTTTGTTAAAAAACAAAAACAGCCATGTTTCCTTATAACTGAGGAGCTAATTTGAAGCAAAAATGCTAATGATATGTGGCTGTAGTAAACAGTGTCGAAGGAGCTCGAAACAAAGCCTTTTTTTTGCCAACTGCTGAACAACTGTGTCCATCTACGAGAGACAAAATTAAGAAATGTCCTCAGAAATAGTTTTTAATTGGTAAAGTTTTAATTATTCTTTCCTATCAGCTGGCATTGGCCGTGTTTCATGCAAATACCATGCTAATGACAATAAGGAGACAAAAGCAATATTTCAAAATGCGCATAAAAATGCATTATGGAAACACAGCTACTGTCTCCTCAGAGAGATGTTGGGTAATTTGCTTTGGATGTTGTTTTATTTGTTTTTTTTAAACTTGACTAGAAATCTAATGATGGAAGCAAAAGAAAATAAGCCTAATTTGGTCAGAAATGTTTGGTCAAGTCAGGCTAAAGGAGCAGTATAACCTCTAGATGTCATTAGCAAAGTCACGTTCCTTCAAAAGCTTCGGGGAAACTTTTTAAAATCATCTTCGGTGAATATGACAGCTTGCTAGCAAACAGGCTAATGGGGCTGAAAACTGGTGACTTGTTGGTCCTGTGCAAACGATATAACATCTGGTCCTTTCTGCTAATAATCACCGATCTGAAACACACTGGATGATAGAACTTTGATTGTTGGCTAAAAGTTTAACTTCACCCCCATGAAATCCACTTTAGATCAACGTTATGAAAAAAAATGCAGCAGCTCACAATCTGAGTGACAATTAGAAAGCTGACGTCTGACGTCCACTTCACATGCACAACTACAAGGCTTAACTGTGATGAACTCCACAAGTACAACAGACACAAAACATACAAACGTAAAAATCGTAAGACACAAAAATGATACCAAAAAATAACGTACACAGGAAAAAGCAGAAGTGCTATTTTCAGTGTGTATACCACGAGTTCTGTGTGTTTAGGTAAGGCAAAGTAGAATCAGATGATAGTTTTAAGTGTTTTCCTTTTGTTGGGGGGGGTTATGTTATGGCAAAGCTAGTGACAAGGGGGCACGTACGCACATCTTGGTTCTCCTGGAAGACCTGTGATCCATCTTGACCTGTTGTGTATTTTCAGGGGTTGTTCTGGTTCACGTCGGCAGAGCAGTGATTCATCAGTCGTCAATGTCCTCATACACGTTATCGTCGAAAGGCCGCGCCGACGACGGCTGTATTCTGTGACGGGAGTACTTGAGCTGAAGAAGGTCTCCTACCTCGCTGATGACACTTAGCGCCTGTGGAGACATTTATACAATAAAAAAAGCTGTCAACACGAAGGGCAATATGTGGCTGGAGGAAAATTTAAAGCTGCACCACGCAAGATTTCTATTTTTTCTTTTATGGAAAACACACACCAGTCTTGTAAGATTGAATCACAAACTTGGGCTGAAATGGAGAATACCACCGGACCGATCTTTCAGAGTTTTCATTCCTGTTCCTTGGGTGTTAGATGAAGTCGCCAATAGGACATCTTGTTAGGGCAAAGAAGGCGATGAGTTCATATGGTATCAGATATAACAGCAGCAAGTGTCCGTTCAGGCTGAAACTCTTTATTCAAGGAGATATTCAGTCTTACTAGAGCATGGTGTCTATTCGTCTTCTATGCAATTAAAACATTAAATATGTAAAACTTTCATACTGTATGGTTAACAACATTACTATGGCTTTAGGGATTACGCAGTGCATATATAATATTACTAACATAAGTGATAAGTACTTTAATTTTTACATTTTTGTAGCGTCATGCACATTATTTATAGTTTCTTTAAGCTGCACCAATACATTTCTGCCACTAGTGGGCAGAAAAACAAGCGATAAACATCAACATTTTATAACCTTTTAAAGTGAACATCTAAAATGGGTTAGCTTATTAACATATCAACAGACAAGTCGCAACATTGGCATGTATTTGGAGCCATGTTTGTTGAATGTAAGTCTAGTGTTTAGTTATCCTTTAACTTTGTATCAGTCACTAATAATTGACTCTTTCCCTCCTAAATATTACGTTCTGTGTATACACTGGTTTGTAGAAGCCAATAATGTAATAACAGCCGATAACGTAATAAATTTGCACTTTTAAAATGCAATAGGCCAATAACGTAATGAAAGTCCTGAACTGATAACGTAATATCTTTTAGCCAATTACGTAATAAGTTATTATGTTATAGGCCTATTACATTTTAAAAATGGAAATTTTATTACGTTATTGGCTTCTACGTGGTTGTTAGCTGTCCTGGTCAAACACTACAGTGTAAAGTGTTTTATTCTGATAATTTCCTGCTGCCTTTGTAACAAAGTCAGAATCAGAGCAGTGAGACTAAACCAAGACAGTAAAATTACAGGCCTGCAGACCAAAACAAAAAGTGGAGAAATGCTAAAAAAAAAAAAGTTCCATAAAGTTGAGGCAAACAGCAAACTAAGGTAAGGTCTCTGAGTCTGCTCCTTCCAACTGAGGAGCCATTTACCCATTTGATTTATTAATATAAAATTTTTTATAAGTGCAGCTTTAACCCTCCTACTACCTTCAAATTTACTGACATCTTTTATCCTTGGGTTCAATTTAAACCTCCAGAAAATATAAGTAAAATTGTTACCCAGGTTTATGTGTAAATAGCCCTTTAAATAAAACTGAAAAAAATATGTCAGTGACTTACTTAGAGATGTTAAACACCGAATAGGATCAAATTGACCCCAAAAATAATAGGAGGGTTAAGATGATGCTTGTGTTTGTGGGACTAACAAATCTTTATCTATTCATCTTTATCGACACTCTGTATTCCCATTTCCAAGTTCATTTTTATAATGTATTTCCTAGTGTTACTAAACACAGACTATGGGGCCCTCCAGGTTAACCAAACAACACTGTAGTGGACACTTGGTGCTTTATCCAGCATTTATTGTTTTATTGTTGCTCTTTTCCAATTTTTCATTCCTGCCTTTTTTGAGAAGCACCTTGTAACTGTGGTTTAAAAAAGGCTCCATAAAAATAATAATTACTATTATAATTACGGCTAAGTGGCTGATAATCAACACTTTGACAAAGGAGAACAATCAGTGAACTGAAAATACTTCATTGTACGTTGTAAAGAAACCACAGAGCCACAGCGGCACAATTCACATAAAGCAGAATTGAAAATGAATCGAGTTAAACTGCAGATTGTGTGTTTTCCATTGTTTCAACACTTTCATTTCCTGTAGGGATCTCATGTAACAGGAAGTTAAGTGTGGTGATGTGATCTTTGATTAGATGAAAAGCAGATAAAAACATCTCAACCGTACCATGTTCACAAACACATGCATTAGTTTTTCATCAACTCCCAAAAAGATTAAATTCTCAGCCTAAAAATCTTGTGTAAATATTACATTAATACAAAACTCTCATTTTTTATTACCTGTTTTGTTGCAACCGATATTATATTGTAATATATTATGATCTGGAAATAGGAGAAGAACCGCGTCTATTATGTAAAAGAGAAATAGCATTAGCATGTTACAGGCTCCTTCCACTATATAGGTAAGATTAGCGAAAGTAGATCCAAATTATGGCGAATTTATTCTCTAATCTTATTGGAAAATAGTTCTACATTTGAATAATGCCTCGATTAAAGCACAGCATCTCACAAAATGCTGTAGTCTGCTAATATTAGCTGTTAATCAAAGTCCTAGAGTGGAAAAAGCACTGATATCTGATATAGGATAAGCTCAGCAAAGCAGCATCTTAACAGAACATGAATAAATGCATAAAATAATAAATAGGACGAACGAAGCAAGTGGTGCAATGAACTTATCGAACTGTAATGGGATAGAAGTAATGATTATACTCAATATCTACTCAAGTAAAAGTAAAAAGTATGATGAATTCAAGCTCTTCCAGCAGGTACAAACATAACTGACAGCTCTGTATATTTATTGCGCACTTTAGGGGTTGTCTACCTTCAGGTTTTAGACTTCATACATCGCCTTTTTATTGAAGAACCAGACATTTCGTCATCTTTGCTACCAAAGGCAGCTCCTCCAACTTTATAACTCCATGTGGATCTTTCGGCGGCAGTCTTTGGGAAGTTTTTGCATATTAGTTCCGACTTAACATTTGTTTAAGGCTAGGGTTTTAATGTGGCCGCTCAGGATAATAACAAGAGGATTTAGGGTTTCTGTGGGTGTGTGTGACTGAGAAGACAAAACTGCGAAAGCTCACCGATGGATAAAAGAAACACACAAATCAATGTGACACTTCAAAGTACAGGAGAACGATACAGAGAGGAAGGCTAACAGAGAGAGATTTTAACATCATGACAGATAAAAGCACTACAATACTCCCACTCCTTGTCTTCAGCTTATTTTGTTCTTTTTTTGGAGGGGGGGGAATGCATAAAGAATAATACCAGTGGATAACATAGCCGTGGATGTAGCAGCACTTCCTGTAGACGGTCTGTATGTGAGCCAAATGACTCACGCAAATTAGAGAGAGGAGGCAGGAGAAGGTTCAACCTCTGTGTGAGATGATTTACATTACTGTCAAAATAAGAAAAAGACCGTGGAGGATCTGAGTTTAAAGACGAAGTGGAAGAGCGGGCAGGTCTGCAGCGAGCTCATTTCAGCATCGCAGAAGAGCCCTCGTTGATAAGAGTGGGCGGCTTTTTGATGTGTTGCCAAGAGCAATCAAAGCTCAACAGTCTGCACTGGTACAGACCGACACCAGGAGGAAAGCAGATGGTGGTCTGAACTCGAAACACTGGGAATATACTGTACATTAACCTGCCCAGCCATGCGGCTCACTTCTATAAAACTTTTCCTGATGCTCTGCTCGTCCCACGGTGACGGCCGTGTCCTTTGACAGACCTCCGTTACAGGGATGTCTGACACGGAGCCTCGAGGGATTCGGCGTGTCTGAAGTGACTCAGAGAATCCTCCAAAAGCAGGCGTTTGAGGTCACGAGCGATCATACCTGTATCCCTCCAATTACGGACGGTTTTTCCACCCATTAGACTGCCCTGCTTCCCTTTAATGTCACCGTGATCTCTTAGCTTCGTTTCAAACGGCTTGAAGGTCATTACACCGCTGTGGAACAGGAGGGCTCTAACTTTAAAGAGTGGAACTGTGTCACTATTCTTGTTCCCCCTCAGTGGACTGCCAGTGTTGGAATAGTGGCATTTGCACTCTTTTTCTCTTTGTTTTGGACTCCTGCTGGTAAACCGAGGAGACGAGCCTGAAAACTTTCACGAAAACTTGATGTGTGCACAAGTCAATTAATTAGCCGTAACCCCCTGAAACTATACTTAGCAAAAGCACCAGTGAGCTTAGTGCAGCGAGGCTTGGGACGAACAATTCTGACTAATTAGAGGAACTCTAACAACCCAGAGAGAGTTTCTCACTGAATAGTAATAGCTTCAGCCGGACCTTTCTCCTGTGTGGGCAGGAAAGACTGAGAAGCGGCTATGCAAGACTGGTCGACATCGATGTATTTGCGACTACAGGTGCTGCAGTCGAACGTTCTGCAGGTTTTGTTTCTCTTGCAAAACAACATACGAGGTACAAGTGAGTAGGAGCTGGAGACACGAGTTTCACTGATGCCACATTTGAAACATTCAAACATAACAAGGGAAGGAAGAAAGAAAGAGGAGGAGGAGGATTTTTTGTGGCCATGATTTAACAGGTGTTGATAACGCAGGGTAACGTCTGAGAGTTTTGTCTTTTTGGTCTCAAGCACATCTTGAATTCTCCTGTCGATGTGGAATTTAAAGTAGATGTAGAAGCAGCTTGAACATGTGCTACATTAAAGTGATTCTATGTTTTAATAATATTCTCATAAAAGGTAAAAAATACATTAATTTCAAAGCACAGTCTTGGTTTCCAATCTGTCTTTGTCTTTCAAACAAAGAAAGCGATCATTTACCCTGTCGAGCATGTCTTTTGAGTGGGCGGCTGAGATGCAGAAGCGTGCCCGGGACTCGATGATGGGCGTAGCAGGGAACCCGACGACCACGACCCCGATGTTCCTCTTCAGCATCTCCCTGCCAAACGCTCTGGAGGGAGGAACAAGAGGAGACACAGCATAAAGACGGGGAGAAGTAAAAGGGCATCCACATGTAAGGAAAGGTTCTTGTTAGTCGTAGGTCTTCATAGCATGGCACAAGGAAGGTCGGCACACCACTGTGCTCCCAAAGTGTTTAACAGGAAAGTGGCAGGCAAGGTTTTCATCAATCAGATCTTTTTAGGCAGTTTTCAGACACAAATGGTCTTTTTTAATATCAAAGAGTTTTTATATACTATGTACACACAGTATATGAAACTTTTTAAACAATGCAAATTTTATACAAGTGACTAAATGATAAAAGTAACTAATAAAAATAAGTCAAAAGAGGTTAAAAAAAACTATATTAGTAAAAATAAGTTAAAGAAATGAGAAGTAAAATAAAAGTAAAATGACCAAAAAATTATATTTTACAACAATTGCAAAAAGATAAAAACATAAAAAACCCCAACATTAATATTATCTAACTACTTTTTCTTCCTTTTGTTTAAGGCTTGGTTGATGTTGTCACTCACCAATTGTGTTCACATGCGCCAGATGAATGCCTGATTGTCTGTAGACACGCATTCATCTAACCCGCTATTTGAACTATTGTTTTCTGACTTCATCACATATATAAGATTGCTATTATATAAACATAAGAAGATTTGAAAATGGTGTTTGTGCATGAAAAACTGCCTGCAGGGTTTTATAGATCGAAACCTTGAACGGAAATTAATAAGAAAACAGTGTGAGAGCACAGCAGCGTGTGACCTCGCTATTGTTCTTTCATAAAGACACCACTGTGTTGCTATATTGGTTAAATATATATTTATTCTAAATAATAAATAATCTTAAGGTGCACCGCAGCTTTTGCCAATGATTCCTACCTGTTCCATCACTGTGATAACTGATACCCTTGAGGAAGTAGGTCTTCAAATAAAAATGTGTTGTTTTTAACAGCCATGCTCAATACTTACAATTATGTATGAAAGTAGTTCTGAATCTGATGCTAAAGAGACTACAAATATGAGTGCTGTACTTGTTCCTACTGAAAGGAGAGACCTAAATCTCAGGTTGAGTCAAAAATATCAAGACTTTTTAAAAATTAAATGTTCACCTCAAGGACGAGCCATCAGCATTAAACTACACAGTCGTCCTCAGATGTATTCATAGCCTCCCATTAAAGAAGGAAATAAACAGCTGTCACTGAAATAAGTTGAAACTGACAAAAGTAATAATAAATAAATGAAAATCATGACGTTGGTTTTGAATTGTGGTTCAACAGAAATATATATATAAAACAAGCATGATGTGAATTTTGCCTTTTCTTTAATGGAAGGGTATGAATAAATTTGAGCACGGTTTCTAAAGAGGAAAAAAAATAAACAGGTAAAATGTAACTGCAAGCAATGCACTCCAAAGAATTTAAGAGTTCATTTACAAAAACAGATAACTCCATCTTCCCAAACCTTCAGAAAACCCACTTTTCCATCGTCCACCTGAGACAATATCAAACTTCAGTTATCTCTATTTTTGTCATTTCTGCTGAGTCAAATCCACTCAACTTCAGTTTAATTGATATTGTCTCAAGCAAAAAGAAGTTTTCTGAAAATCTACAAAAATGCAGTTATCTGTTTTTGCAAATGAACTCTTCAATTACTTTATTAGAGACATTTTTATTCCCACAGCGGCAGATAGTTTATTACTTGAAAAACTACTTTTACTCAGAAAAAGTGAATCAATCATGATATTTTTAGAGTCATAAAATATGTGATTTGTAATAATATTATTCATCATACTGTGTGCTCTAAATGCTCCATTCAGAGTCAGCGGTTACATTCCAGCAGCAGCTGCAGAGTTGGAGGCTCACCCAATCTTGGCGGGCATGTAGAGCATCATGGGTACGACAGGAGAGTCGTTGTTGCCGTAGATGATGAAGCCCATTTCTCGAAGCCTCTTGCGGAAATAGACTGTGTTCTCTGCCAGCTGCCGCACACGATCACAGCCTGGGGATGATGAAAAGGGATTCTAAAACACGAGAGCTGACAGCGAATGCGATGCAAGTTAACCGCACGTCTACTTTGTGTTCTGGAATCATGTATATTTAATGACCATCTCGGGGTGTCTGGCAGTGTGCTGACGACTGTTTACTCGGTCACTTAGATGTGAACAAGTTACACACACATCCCATCGCACTGTGGTGTGTTATTACAGAGCAATGTGTGGATATTTATAGGGCTGCGGGGTATACCTTTCACATATAAGGGCTGTCGGAGCTAAACAACGACTCCTCTCCTATTGAGTTGTGTTTATTTTTTAGCGAATCTGAGCCTTCTGGATGGCAAAAAGAAAGGAAATTATTCCGAGCTGGGTAGATAATGCTTTAAAAAGATGAAAAAGGAAGGCTGACGAGCAGCTGAATACAATCATGAGATGGGTGTGAGAAAACGTCTGAGTGTTACAGCATGCGGGCACCACGGGGAGCTCAAGTTTTGAGCTCCTCTGTAGTGTTTTTTTTTTTTCTCCCCTCCTCTCCCACAGGAGATCAGGAGATTCACTGGGTTCTTTGAAAAGCTACCTTCGCATCAAACACGAGACTACAAACTCTGGCGGTGATGCTCGCAAATTTAGGCTCACCCCCTGCATGCGATAATACATGCAGCATAAGATTTATTAAGACGAGTAGAGCCAAATGCCAGACTGCAATTTTACAACCATCCATTCATATATATAGGAAATCTGCAAAGCATTCGCTGTGTGTGCAAATTGTGAAACACCTCATGTGACCTCAGTGGACACAATGAGTTTCGATCTACTGCTTATGGAGGAAGATGGGATTGAGCGCCAATGTGGGAGGTCCAGCTCAGGCCAGAGGATGCAATCACAGAGGACAGGAAATGGTCAGGAATCAAGAGACGGCTAAGAGGAACATTTGGAACTCTCAGTGAACCACCATGAAAGAGTTCTGGAGATTTTTAACCACAGTCACGGATACACTCATAATAAATAAGCACTGTCATTTTTTCAGAACATCAGGTCTGGAAAAAACACTCCTCAATGTGTGGCTGAGCTTGTCCTTTAGCTAGTTTACACTGACACCTGGTGGCTCAGGAGGAGAATTACAGCAGATAATTCCAGCACACGGTCCTCAAATGTATTCATACGCTTCCATTAAAGAAAAGACAAAATTCACAAAAGTCACTCAAATAATAGAAACTGAAAAAAGTAATAATAAATAAAAATTTACTAAATTATAGTTTAGTGAAACAAGACATTGATTTTTAATTGTGGTTGAAAATAATCATAAAAAAAAAAAAAGCAAAACTGTCCTGGACAAACTAGAGCACTTTGCTGATGAGCAGTGGGCCAAAATCTAAATACCTGTCAACAGGTGCAGAAGTCTGATTGAGAGTTACAGAAAACACTTGATTGCAGTGATTGGCTCAAAGGGCTGTTCAACTAAATATTAGTTTATGGGTCAAAATTTATTATTACATTTGTCAATTTCAACTTATTCCAGTGACAGATGTTTTTTTCCTTCTTTAACGGGAGGGTATGAATACATTTGAGGACGACTGTAAGACAAGTCCAGTACAAACCAACATGTGCTGACATTCAGTGTTAATGTTAAAGACACGTTCATGACTGCAGATGTGAACATGTCAAAACTAGATGCAAAAAAATGAAAAATAAAAACTCACATTTTATGTACTATAATTACTGTGTGAGAAAAACTTCAAACCTGCCTGGAACTGGATATTTTCTTTGCGAGATCTGCATTCTTTATCGAGGAATCTTTTGTAGTGCGGACGTGTTGCTTTGTAGTGCTGATTCCCTCCAAGTGAGTCCGATGTTTGTCATATTCTATTTTCACTTTTAAGATGTTCAAGCTGTTCCTCATCTATATTCAGAGGAAAATGTTGGACTTTTCTTTAGATCTTTTGATGTGATATATTGAGCATTTAATGGACGGTTCTTTTATTTGCTGTTGGGATGCGAGGATGCCAGAAGGAGGATTTTGTTTATCTGCAGCTGCTATTTTAATACAAAAAATATACAATAAAAGGTTAATGTAATTGTTAGTGTGCCTGTATAGCAGTCAGGGTCAAATATGGCTGACTTCTAACAACAGATGCCTTTTGTAGCTCTGCATCACTGGGAATTCCACTTAAGAAATTGGCATGGTGACACACACTTAAACATGTCATGTTTTATGTACGAGGGGACGTGAAAAAGTTTCACCAAAAACATTACAGCAATTTTTTTGTGTGTGTGTGTGTGTATTTTTCAATGTAGCTTCATAAACTTCAACATGGCTTGGTCCACCAATTACCACGTTTTGCTATCCCTTCGAGGAAGAAGGTCACATTTTGAGCGTCTAGATTCTCAGCATGAACGACTTCATCATCGCTGTGAAAATGACAACCACGCAAGTGAGATTTCAGTTTGGGACATAGAAGTCAGACGTTGGCAGCTTCTAACACAGGGGTGTCCAATCCTGGTCCTCGAGAGCCACAGTCCTGCATGTTTTAGATGTTTCCCTCTTCCAACACATCTGATTCAAATGATCAGGATCGTTGTCAGGCTTCTGCAGAGTTTGCTGATGAGCTGATCATTTGAATCAGGTGTGTTGGAAGAAGGAAACATCTAAAACATGCAGGACTGTGGCTCTCGAGGACCAGGATTGGAGACCCCTGTTCTAACGCCTCTCCTTTATCATCAATTACTTTGAACAATTGAGTTTTTGTGGGCAGTGATATAAGGCTTTAGAACATACAGTTAGACCCTAAACTGGAGCGACACCCCTTGTTTCCAGGAGAACTTTCTAAAGTGCCCTGGTTCATTCTATGAAAATGCGTTTTATTTAATCCAGGGGTGTCGAATCCTGGTCCTCGAGGGCCGCAATCCTGCATGTTTTAGATGTTTCCTTCTTCCAACACACCTGATTCAAATGATCAGCTCATCATCAAGCTCTGCAGAAGCCTGATAATGATCCTGATCATTTGAATCAGGTGTGTTGGAAGAGAGAAAAATCTAAAACATGCAGGATTGCGGCCCTCGAGGACCGGAGTTCGACACCCCTGATTTAATCCAAAAAACATGTTTCAGTAGAAGACAACTGGACTTCTTGAACAAGAGGTGACACGTTTTCAAGACACTAAAGAGAAGTCCAGTTGGCGTCCACTGAAGCACTTGATGACCTGAAAGACTTGAGACTCAACAACGACATGCAATATCATTGTTCAGATTCAGACATACCTATCGTTGTGCCATCCTCGCCCATAATGCACTTCATAGAAGTGATGATTTGCTCCACCACAGGAGGAGACATGGAGGTGGCGTAGACCGCACTGTGGGAATGGGAGCGTAGGTACTCGATGAGCTCCTAAACACAGCAGATGCACAGGAGATGTAAAAGGAAATGCATGAACAACAGATTTAATTACTCTACAGTGTCTTCAAGCGTGGACAGTTTATATATATATATATTTTATTTGTCAGGGACCGTGCACAACATCATCAGTCTCACAGGAGAAGAGATGCAATATATACCAGATTTAGCTACTTGCTCATATCCATCTGGAGTCCCAAGACAGGTAGACACAATAGTCAGTATATTATATACACACACACACACATATCCAAAGTACTTGATATAAATAAGAGAACACCACACACACACACACACACACACACCATAAAACACACACACACTCCCAACCACTCAATCCCAGACATGACTTGTTTCAGATCTGCTACCTGCATTAGAGCGACAATGAAAACATGCATCTTACACACCACAAAAGAGTGAGTTAAAATGACAAAGAAATAACTTTGTATATATTATGGCCTCTGAAATTGATTTTAATGGTATTTCATAAAAACACAATTGAGAAAAAGGTCATAGTATTAAATATTCTCAAAGCGTTAACGAGCAAAATCAAATCCAATCCTCAGATTTTGTGCTTCTTAAATTACAACCCTTAAATAAAGCTTCTGTGACACCTTACTGACATAAATCTGGATCGTTAACAATTAGTTCTCAGCTTCATCCTGTCACATGATGGCACATTCCTCCACCAGTAAATCATGCTTGACTTTCTCAAACTCATTTTCAAAATATTTCGAAACCCCATCGGTTTCTAAGGTGTCACGGTGAACTGATGGAGACAAAAAGTCTTGACATCAGGACTTCTGTGCAGCGAGCCTTGTTTTGATAAGTTTTGACGGTGTGTCATGCAAGTAGGTTACTATGTCAGGAATGCAGAGTGCATTCACTGCAGGGCTGTAAATCCACATTGTTGGGAGAACAAGTGTCTTTTCTGTTACACTTAAAATTCTCACTTGTCACTGTAACCCCCGATCTTGAGATAACGTTAGTCTCAGCATTCTTGGTGAAATATTCCATCTACACTGGGTTAGTCAACTGCACTGTATATCCGTGAAGCTGATTTTTTAGCTTACTCATCACCTCTCATCTTTCTTTGTAACCCTTTTGTCCCACAACAACTACAATGTCATAAACTGAACCTGCAGTGTTCAATCCTCACCCTTTTCCCGGCGATGTATCCCCCTGCAGCACCAAAGCTCTTGGTAAATGTGCCCATCATGACATCCACGTCACAGGGGTCGAGGCCAAAGTAATCCACCACACCTCTTCCTCTTGGACCCAGAGCTCCTATGCTGTGGGCCTCGTCTAGATAAAGGTAGGCCCGGTAGCGCTTCTTCAGGGCGATCACCTCGGGCAGGCGCACTATACTGCCCTCCATGCTGCAGGAAAGAAAGATGCACAAAGGCGTTATAGCCACACATGTCCTGATGCATTTGGGTTCATTTGTTTCCCAAAAAGCCAAAGAAATTGAACTTCATCAACAAGCTAATCTCACTTTATCAGCTGCCTCAAGAGAATAACGTTATAATGTCACAGCCAGAACAGAGTGTGCTTATAGTAGCGGATTACTACACAGTGCAGGTTTTGCATCGCCCAGTCAGGCTGAGTAAGTTTAGCTAACCAAGCACTGAGTCAGCTCTGTCAACCAATAATCCAGTCCCAGGAGTGTTAACGCTGCTGAACCTGATGGAAACACAAGATCCATCAATGGAGGTTAAGCGCTGCCTTCTGGAGGCTGCTTCTTGCATGTGGTTGCACTCATACATGCTGATACCTGCTCATCATGCCTAAGTCAAAGACATAGCTGAAGTAATCTGATGTGGAACATTTGCCAACACACACAAACACAGTTGATGAAACTGCTGCTTGTGCAATGAAGTTACATTGTGCTCTTGTTGAAAATGGGAAGGAAATCATGGGAACCTTGAAGAGGGAGACTCCCACTGTTTTAGCGCTGTAGGCGAATGACATGTTTATAATAACTACAAAAGCTGCACACACAGATGTTTCTTGACTTTTTCTTAGCAATCATAACATATAAAGACAAGACGGTCAAAACCAAAAAGAGAAACTGTACAATGAAATCAAAATGATTGTGTTGCAAAAGGTTGTTTTTTTTAAATCAAAGTATGTATGCAAACGCAAATAATGCACCTGTAAATGCCCTCGACCACTATGAGGATTTTCTTCCATGGTCTGTGAGTCCTGGGCTGCCCGTGAACTATGGCTTCTTTCAGCAGTTTCTCAAGGCTCTGCATATCTTCAAGAAAAATCAAGAGAGCATTTCAGTCAAAATGAAAGTCGTGGTTTTAGCAGCAGTGGTATAAAACCGCTTGACGTTTGTTCTTGGTTGGACAATCATTAAGAGGAAGTGATAAACTCCTACACACAGTTTCAAAAGACCCTCAAAGTGTCGATGAGCCCACAATGCTGAATTCTGAGTGCTATAGTACTGAACAGATGAATGAAGTTGTTCTTAGATCATTGGCTTTTAGTTCAACTGTTTAGCGACTGAATATTTTAGCAAAAAAAACATTTTTAAACTCAAGCAACGTGTCCTTGTGGATTAACATATGAATTCAGTTAATTAATGCCTGTAGCCCACAAGACAAGGGTTAAGTAAAGTAAAGTTAGTGAATAGAATGATCCGAGGCAACAGACTGGAGCTAATGGCTGTGTGTCAAAAGGTTGCTAACCACTAGCTGCTAATCACACAGGCATATCTAATGAGCGTAAAGCACAAATCTACTTTACCTCGACTTTATCTAACAGAAGCAGAGGGATTATTTTCAAAACATGGCCCCAACTAATCCAACGGATGATTTGTAAACTGTTCAGCTGCAGCTTAGCCGAGCTACAGTTAGTTAAGCTAATGACAAATAACTTTTTTTTTTTTACAACTCATTACACACACAAATACAGAAATTACACTTAATATATAAACAACGTATTTTAAGTTCAGTAAGGCGAGAGCTATTTTATGTGCTAACCTAAAAATATACTAAATTGAACTGTTTTAGCATGTGAGCTAACATTAGCAGCTAGTTAGTTCTTCTCTATATTTGACATACAACCCAATATTTTGTGGTTTTTTTTCCAAAAAAGTGTTTATAAAAAGAAGTTATAGTACACTGAATGCAACTATAATTAATCAACAGCAGACATTTTGAATTATATTAAGAAAAGCACAGGTGCTATTAAAATAATTTTTTAAAAAAAAAGAAAGAAAAAAGAGGCTATTTTAAGTTAGCATTACATGGTGACGGTGAGCTACCATTTAAAATACCAGGACCCCAAAACTAAAGCAGCGAAATGGAATTTAACCTCCTAGTTTATTTCTGTATGTTTGAACACTATGACATGAATTTCAACCTTATTTATTTTGTATAGCACCTTTCATACCAATGTGCAGCCCAAAATGCTCACCGGCAAGAATAAAACAACCTTGACGGTGACGACAGCATTACAAGACTGAAAATAGATCAGTAACAGTCCATGAAATAAAACAAACACCAGGGATGAAAAAAATTATGTAAGAAACAAAGCTTACAATTTAAAAACTAAGTTTAAAGCATTAGGCTATAAAATTATTCCAAAATCAAAGGTTAGACTTAAATGTCAAGCTTCAAAATGCCTTTTGTAAAAAAAAAAGTGTTCATTTTTTCAAAAAACATAACAGGACAAATAATGCGGGACCTTATTTCTTTTTATTTTTATCTGAAGTATTACCTTTAAAAAAGTATGCTGAGTTGAGATATACAACAAAATTTCAAACACAGCTGAAGCATGAAAATGAATTTAGATAAAGGTGAACCACTTAAATTGAGGCAATGACGAGCTGCAGTGGACACCAGGATGCATGCGGACAGAAGATAAACTTTAAATGCTGGTAGGAGACAGACTGACAGGAGGACCCATTTGTGACTCACTGTTGTGTTTGAAGACTCTGATGGTGGACCCGGAGAGTCTGGCTCCCAGGACCAGAGAGGCATGGTTCAGTTCATCACTCAGAATCAGGCATCCCTGCAGGACACCAAATCGAGCTTAATTAGTCTAAATAATTCAAACACATGACTTGTTTTTATCCATCTGAGACAGCATTGCACATACAAGCCTACATAAAAATCAGTTCATTTTGTTTACTGACTGGTGAGTGGAGGGAGCATCATTTTATGCTCGTATGTAACGATCTGTGCTGAGAGAGTTACACTGAAAATGCTGTTTGCTCTGTATTGATTGCACTGTTTGCTACTGCAGTACTCTTACACTGAAAACCTACACCTTTCTTTTTTTTTTTTTTACCAGCGGCTTTGCATCGTTTCACAAGAACAAAAGCATTCAGCTCACACTCTCTGCTGTTGGTTTGCGCTCAGTAGTGACCGGCCGCCACACAACATCAGCAGCAACTGACTGGTGTGAACACTTTGGTTAGTTTTCATTGCCACACAGTCACACCACCAATCCCCTGAGCGAACAGGAAGCGTTTCCTCCTGATATGAGGTCAGGGGGTGTTGTTGTGCCTTCAGTTGGTGTTACTGGTAGCGTGATGATGTTTTTTGTCAGAGATGGTACTCAAGATTGCACTAACAAAAATGCTGGGTGGCAAACTTATTTTATCTTTAGCAAATAAGACAGACAGAAATAGCAAAAGTCATGAAGGAGACATGGCAGGAAAATAAACAAGAAGCTAAATAATAGAGATAACAAATACAGGCGATGACAATAAACTCCAGCTCTACCCAGGACCCGTGTATTATTTGTTTCTGTACCTTGCCCGCCAAGGCCGGCATGTTCATGGAGTTGGTCGCAAAGCCCATCCCAAACGCCATGGCAGATTCAACGCCGAGGAACTTAGCCACCAGTTTCTCCATCTCCTCGTGTCTGTCCAGGTTACCTGAGGTGCACACACACACACACACACACACAAGGTTACAACAAACAGACACGAGCAACTCAAAGATCTGTGCTTACATACCAGATGGCATGCAAATACACTTATTTGCTTTCTTGCCTAAAGTCAAAGAAGGAGATTAACGCAGCTGTTGTACAGGGTTAGCTCAGCTTTGCATGAAGACTGGAAACAGCTTGCCTGGTTCAACTCAAAGAAATAAAAAAAATGCACCTAACAACACTATAACAGCTCATTTATTAACAGTTATAGCTTGTTTGTAAGTGTGAAAAATGGTGAATTTATGGGCAGCACGTTGTATTAACTCCTTGGTGAGTGCAGAACTTCACACTTGTATTCTTTAGGTTTTGTACAATTTAAACAAATGAGAGCCGTGAGAGAGTGTTTTTTATTAGCCCTATATTTAAAAGACATATTTGAGTGTGGTAGCAATCTCCTCTAATTCTAGATAACAAAGTGAACTATTCATTCTGCAGCTAAAAAAAAGCCACCTCTAATCTTTCAAAGCAAGTTATTCACAAACCTTCCATGAAATACTCACACAGCCAGTCTGGCTGTCTGTGCTCGATTGTGGGTCATCTAGTGTGTCGGATATGCACGCATTGACTTGTTAGATTTACAACTGTGTGGGTTTGCCTTTCCTTCTGTAAGAAGAGAAGCGTCACTGGTTCTACTCGACCAGTAAATATGTGCTGGCCACTTCCTCCAGGGTGATCTGGATCTTATCAGAGTTGCTCAGCAGACCGACTTCAGCCACAGATTTCTTAAGTCAATACAGACGCTGCTTTTAGGTTTTTTTTACTGCTATGGGAGTAATCTAACACATTTTAAGCTAAGAAAGTTTTTGAATAACAGTAAATATCATCACCTTCGTATATTTGGCCAATTCTGTAATGCACTCATTATGTTTGAATTTATCTTTTTTTAAATGTAATTTTAACTATTGCTTATATATATATATATAAAATTGACTTTTACTTCACTTTCTTTGTAATTTAGGGTTGTTTTTCTTGTCCAATTATAAAGTTTAAAAACCTAGCTTATTTGAAAAAAGAGGAAACTTGGTCTGTAAATAAAATGACTCTCTCTACATCATTATACTATTTTCTGATGTTATATATAAAGGCAATAATTTTAAAAAATCTATCAACAAATAAAATAATAATTAGTTGTGGCCCTTATTAGGCCACAAGGATAGTCACAACGCATTTTGCTGAGCGATGATGAATGTTAAAATAACATACTATACAAGGAAGTTACACCTTTAACTTAGTGCAAACTTTCTCGAAAGCCACTAAAGGTTTTGTCAGAAAGTAATGTTTTTTGTGCAGGAAAAATAAATCCTTTCTATTAAATAAAGCTTTGGAATATCTTTATATGCACAGATAGAATTAATTGCATATTTGTTGTTTTGTCTTTTACACAAGTAGGTGTGTGTTTTAACTGTTTCCTGTAAAAACAAACTAACTTAATTGGCAGCATTTATTTATTATTATTTTTTAAGTTATATCTTTGGCATTTTTGCCTTTTTTCGAAAGCGCAGTTAGAGAGAGACAGGAAAGTGGGGGAGAAGAATGGGGGAAGGACCTGCAGAAGAGGGCCATGAGCGGGATTTGACCTCTGCATCGGGGACTATAGCCCCTGTAGATGGGTCAGCCAGGTGAGGTATAGCAGCGCCTAATTTGCATCATTTATTAACACAAACCAGTTTGAGATGCTTTGTTTATAGTGGTTAATTCATCCCTGTGCATAATGTCGGTGTTTTGTGTTTGTACCGATCTCCTGCCGGGTGCTGGCCACTCCAACACCGTACTTCACGGTGACCTCGGCTGCAGACTCAGCGCATGGACCTGTGTTCTCAGCGAAGCCGAGGTAATTATACGAGCCCAAGTTAATCACATCCGGCACTACGCGACCTGTGTACCTGGAAGAATGAGAGGAGAAGATCATCAGACACAGGAAACAATCAGCGAGAGGGAACTAATGACTCCCAAAGCTTATTGGTCCAATTAATACTAATGATTGTTACAGATAATTAAAAACTAAACTGAAGTGGAGTGAAAGGCTGGATAGCATCAAAGTGCTCTTTGTTTTCCCGTTTTTTTTCTTTTCTCCCAATCTCTGCCCCTCCCACACAGCCCACCCCGTTCTCTCACTGGCGCTCCATTGTTCTCTGGTTTTGCTTTGTCGCAGTGTGTGTGTGTGATGTCGGACTTCACACACCTCACTGCCCCTCCACTGAAACGCTTCCACTGCAGCTGTCCTCCAGCTTTTCCTCAGTGAGGAGTCAAGATGACAAATGTGAGGCCGGACTGATGTTAACATCAGATGAGCTTTGATTAGAGTGTTGGTACTGAGTTTGTCATTGCCATAAGATATAGTGAATCACTCTTTTAGAACCTACAAGTGAAAGTCACCCAAAAAGAACGACAAGAATATGTATTCACATTGTCAGTCATGAAGTTTAACAGTAGCACGATTTGCATTTCAAACTACGTGCAAATCTAACCAGCGCTGATGAGAACAGGTTGTCTGTGGTTTTTGACGTTAAAATATATCTGGGTCACTCTAGATTTGACTCATTTAAGTGTGATGCAGCTTGTGGGACAACAGACCCATGCTGTCATTTTATGCACGAACTAGTAGAAAGAGAGACAAAATAAGAAAACTAGCTGCAGAAGTAAACATGGTGAAGGTTACACTTACTCTACATATTATAAATCAGGTGGGTGTAGTCCTGTAACAAATGCTACATGTGAAGAATTTGCCCAGAAGCCATTCATTTTTCCCTAATTTTGTATTTCGTCCAAAAAGAGCGCATAAGAATGTGTGTTGACGTGTCAGACAGATATTTATTTCCACCCCTGCATTTGTTAGATCTGATTGCTAGAAGGTTAAAAATGCTGTCGAGCAGAAAGTCATTTATCAGATACAAATTCCAAACATTTGCTGGTACCAGCTTCGTAATGAGAACATTTTTGGTATGTTACAGACTAAATTATTTGCTTTACTCATAAAGCAGATGATGGACTGTGTGACAATGGAAACTAGTATGTAAATTATTTTTCATTTCACATTGAAGGCTGACACTGATATCGATCTTTGAGAGTTTTAAGAAGCCAATAACAATGTAGTGTCTGCTGGTGTTTCTTCACATTAACAATCTTGATATGGACATCTTACATTTGTGTGTTTTTTTTAAGACTTGTGATGAAGACACGTAATAATCTGTACATTCTACCAATAAAAAATCCATTTGTTTTCTCTGGTAATGGTAATAGTGCTTCTAAATGACCTGACATCTATTCTAAGCGAGCATTTTTCTCAAGAATAGGAGTTTATTCGTGCGATCAGCCAATCATACTATCATGTGGCAGCACGACAGCGAGTAAAACCTTGCAGATAGAAGTGAGGAGGTTCACTTAATGTTCACATCAAACATCACAATGAGGAATAAATGCGATCTCAATGGCTTTAACTGTGGTTGGTTTGAGTCGTTTTCTAAAACCGCCGATCTCCTGGATATGCACCATTATGCATCCCTTTATGGCCACAATCTCTTTCTAATGGCTGCTTTGCATGATAGTGCCCCAGGTCACGAAGCAAAAGTCAAACTGGTTTCATGAATATGACAATGAATTCTGTGGCCTCCTCAGTCACAAAAATCTTAATGAAGTAGGACACCTTTAGGATGTGGTAGAATATAGGCATGGCGGCAGGAACGTGGCGCCAACAATCAAGTCAACATGGAGCAGAATCTCAAAGGAATTTCCAACATTTTGTGGAATCCATGACACCAAAAGAGGCTGAGGGCAAATAGAGGCTGAGGGCGAATAGAGGCTGAGGGCAAACAGAGGCTCTACCCAATATTAGTGCGGTGTTTGTTATTATGTGCTTACTGAGGAGAGTTTAGCAATTCTCCGTTACCAATACATGTGCAAAAAGCGAATATTTGATGGTATAGCTCTATTTTAAAATATCATTGTTCCTTTAAGGGGGCTGCAAGGTGGCTCGATGGCTAGCACTGTTGCCTCGCAGCAAGAAGGTCGCCGGTTTGTGTCCCAGTGAGGACACCCGGGATCTTTCTGCGTGGAGTTTGCATGTTCTCCCCGTGCAGTGTGTGTTCTCTCCAGGTTCTCCAGCTTCGTCCCACACAGTCCAATAACATGTAGAGGTTAATTGGTGATTCTAAAGTGAATGTGAGTGTGCTTGGTTGTCTGTCTCTAAGTGTAGCCCTGTGACAGACTGGTGACCTGTCCAGGGTGTCCCCTGCCTTCACCCTAAGTCAGCTGGGATAGACTCCAGCCCCCACGACCCTAGTGAGGATTAAGCGGTGTATAGATAATGGATGGATGGATGTTCCTTTAAGCAGAGGCTGACTCCCTTCAGTGAATAACAATGACAAAACAAGCCACAGTTTCCCCTTTTGTACAACCTAAGAACTTGACATAGTCTTTCACAGTGTTGCAACTTGCAGACAGTTCTGGCCAGTGAGGAAGGTGTGTAACCCCGCTCCGTTTTTGCGGGTTTAAGTTCTTACATTACCCAGTCTCTTGTGTGTAGTGTAACATGTCACTTTTCTTGATTTTTTTTTTTTTTTGAGGAAACACTGTTAACACAATTGGAACTAATCCTTGACTGGGGGATTAGCTATAAAGCCTGCTTCCTCCTTGCTTTTGTGTTTCTGAATACCTCAAGGTTAACTGAAAGATAACAATATTTACACTCTTGTACAAAAGCTATGTCTTTCTCACTCAAAAGTCCAGTTGTAGTCTTGGGAGGCTCGTTCCATCAGATCCATCTTGGCTCCTGGGACGCTGCATATGGGCCTGTTCCAGTTGTCTCTTATCCGCATGTAAAGGTTTCTGGTGTAGAAATTCTCAAAATCCTGGTAGAGTGGCACAAAGTCCTACACATGGATAAACAGAAAGATGCATTGTAAAGCAGAGTAGAGAGCGGGGCATTACCTGACTGGCAGAACATGTCGGAATTTCATCCTAAATCATTTGCTTTTACAAGTTTTAAATCCAAGAAATACCTTCAAGGGGCTGCATGCCTCTCATGCTTTTGGAAAGCTTGACTAAAAAGAATTTAATCTCTCGAAGCATAAACTTTAAAACAACATTTAAACACCAGCGAGGGAATTCCTTTTCCTTGGAGGAGGTTCATGCAGGAAACCTCCATGAGATATCCTCGGCGTGATTTAATGATTTCCACACGTCTGCCTCAGCAGCTTCCGTTCCTCAACATGACCAAGTACTTAAAACAATGGGCTTCACTATCAAACATTACATAACACGTCGAAAACAATCTCAGTGGTCAAGGACATGCTCTAAATGTGCTCCAGCTCGGACTAAAATGCACTTCTAAGAATGCACATTGCACTCTGCTGTGAGTAAAAGGAAAGGAGAATATACACATTTCTATCTTTGTAATCAGTTTCCTGGTTGG